TTTTCGAATACTTTTAAAAAAAAAAAAAAAAAAAAAAAAAAAAATCGACATAACGAGTTTCTTTATAATGGAAAGACTCGAAATAGTGATTCAAGAGGGAAATTTATGTACGAGAGTAAGGCCACATTAAGCTATATAATATAATAACGGAACCTCATGTACCAATGTCTAGTCTAGCCAAGCCTAACCTGACTCAACGTTGTTACGACGTATATTTATACAACAGCTGGAACGCGCTCTAGCGGTTGGTCATGGGCGGGGGGGGGCAGAGGTAGGAGTGAGTTTCAGTCAGCTGATTGAAGCATTGGAGGGGAAAAGTGGAGGGGAGGACGACCTTTATTTAAAGTACTGCTCGAAGAAGAAACCATCCTTTGACTGGAAAAGATAAATATTTGAGCAAAATTATATATATATATCCTTATGAAAAAGTTAATTACATTTTATCATTGATATTTCTTTTGATTTAATTTCTTTGTTTATTGCCACGTTATGTTGAATGTAATCAGCATAAAATATGACGGTCGGATGCTTTTGTTTTTCGTAATTTACCGTTAATGCGGTTATAAGATACGACTCTTTTACAAATTTAAAATGCGCTCGATTCATAGTTCAAACAAGTATTATAAGCTTTAAGTGGACTGGATAACAGTTTGCTTTGAAGGTTAAACGTTCAAGTTCAATAAATAAACCAATTGTCTAGTAAAACATTTCAATGACATTTTAATAGAACGATTACTTTACATTTGAAACGTGTAGAAATAAAAAAAAATATCATAATTTGAACTAAATGTCTGATATTTGTGATTTTAGTCTTGATTACACATTAAAGTCGATGTACATAGACTAAATTGCTTGCATCCGACTAAATTAAAATAACAATTTTTGTCTTCAAGTAACGTCGGATCATTTCACAAAAAGGTATTTTGACACAAATCATTACTCCCGTGATTGCATATACTGTTATTATAATTCAGATGTAGCAGTATAGTATTAGCGTTTGTAGTGAACTAACCGCTTAATAGATACGTACTTTAAGAATTTTTAATTTAATACAAGTTATCCTCAATATTTGATTGCACTGTTTGTTAAGATTTTCAAATTCATTACGTCATCAAAGCATTATTGTTTGATCCTCATGCTCTGTTATTTGCTAGAATCGAGAACTCTTACGAGTAACCTGGAGATGGAAACGGAAGAGAGAGAGAGAGAGAGAGAGAGAGAGAGAGAGGGAGGACGGTACGAGCGAGCGAGTGCCCTTTTGTAAAAAAGGCACTGTTGGATATAAAATCATTCGTAATAAACGAGATTTGGTCTTTTGTAAAGGAAAGCTGCTTAATTAATCATATCCTAAAGTTTACTACCGCATTTCTATTCACGACTCTCGTTTTTTTTAAGCTTGCCTCTTATTATCTGTAGAACTTTAGTCGATAATGACTAGCGAAATGGCAAAGTGAAAAAAAAAATTGCAACTAAAATCAATTGTAGGTACATTATTTATCAGTGTTGTATGTCGGGTGGGTACCTTACAGAATTAAAAAAAAAAAAAAACTATTTCAAAGGCTTCTTATTAATATACTCATTATCATTGGTATTATAGTATCGTTAAATGGTGTGTGTAATATCCGAAAAGAAGTGTAATATGTAAATGTAATAACAATTAAATATAATTCCCATCAAGCTTTATTTATCTTTAGTCTTGAAGAAGTTTCGTCCAATTCCCTTAATTAAAAAAAAAATACATATATATTTTTATATTATCGGCATTAAAATGCTCAATTAATTATATTGTAAAATGCAAATCATAAAAGCGAAATGATTTTTACGGGCAATGGTAGTGTGTGTATTTCATCAAAATTGATTAAATCAGGTTTGAGCGGGAAAGCTTTATAAACGCGCGAGTATAGTATCCATAATTTCTTCATTTCAAGACGATTTACGAATAATAATCAGTACTCCGACATGTAAATAAGCGTCCCAACGAAATGTTTGCCAATTTATGGTTAGTGTCACGAGGAAATGTCTAATGATGGATAAAGCCATGGCAATAGCCACGGAATTATAATCGTAGCGGCAGCATTTCCAATTAGAAATCACTGCGATTAAAAGAAGAGGGCAGGAGGGCCGTCGACACGTTCTTACAATATTTCAAGTCGCAAGAGTTAGGAGGCGCGTTCGAGGTAAGCTACAATTTTGCCGTCGAAGGGCCAAAAGTAGAAGTAGGTGTACGAGGAGGCGCAGAAAATAATTAGTCGAAAATGGAGAAGGAGGGAAAAATGTAGAAGGGAAGTTGGCGAGGCTAAAGCGTCAGCGGCGTTGGCGGCGGCTGGCTCGTGGGCGAGGGGTCGGGGTGTAAGGCAGCCGCGAGGGAACGGGAAAGGAGAGAGTAAGAAGCGCCGCAGTTGCAGGGCACTGCACTAATGTGTTTTTTGTTGCAGGGGACTGGCATGGAGAAGGAGAACTCCGCAACGGGCGGCGGAGGTGGAAGCAGCGGAGGCGGCGGCGAAGCGACGGTGACGCCGGGCGCCACCTCCACCGCCGAACATCTCCAGGCGGATCAAGCCAACTCCTTGCTGGATCCCACCGCCCTTTTTGGTGGTGAGTTTATTATTATTATTATTATTATTATTGTTATTGTTATTATTATTATTATTATTATTATTAGTATTAGTATTATTTTTTGTATATATATATATATATATATATATTTTTTTTTTTATTAGCGTCCCCCTCGGTTTTATGCGGCTTTATTAATGAGTCCCGAACGTCCCCACACCTCTATAATTCTCGATGCCCGGCTCGAAAATACCGCACGCTCGCTCCCTTTCCCTCCCGTTCCTCTCACGTTTCTCGGAACCCATTGTACTTCATGTGCAAGGGGTTCCGAGTTCCCATTTATTTCGTTGGCAATTGCCACTTGATTGGGCCGGCCACCTTCCGGTCGTGCGCCTTATTTTATTAGCGTCCCGACGTTGCAAATTATCTTCGGGCAGTCCTCGATAATTCCGGGGAATTTTCCGTGCACCGCTCGTCCAGGTGGGAAATTCGCTGATAAGACGATGCCGTGAAATGCGTAATAATACAGGATTTACATCGAACGTTTAGAAGCTAAAAGAACAAAGAGAGTTGGTGCTGTTCGATAGCATGGACGAGCAGCCGTGGTGGTTAGGGGGCTCCTCTTCTCAACCAAGCCCCATCAAGCCCACCAGCGGCCATTTTTCCAATACGGCAGGGTGAATATGAAGGCTCGAGTGACCCTCCGTGCTGCCGTCGACCAAATGAAAATTAAGTTCTGACTCGGGAGTGTGAGAGTTTGCACGAAGAAAAGCTTCGAAAGCGCGATTAGTCAAAGAAGCGATAAAGCCGCGATCGTTAATCAAATTTTCGACGGTGAGGCCGAGAGCCGAGTGATTTTCATCTCGGATGCAGAGATCATGGTAATTGCCTGGGTCGCGGTACGTGGGACGTCTCCGCTGGAAAAGCCGCGTACCGAATAAATCGAGCGTTAGGTGTTGGAAGTCGTAGGTATTTTCGGTGCGTAATCGGCTATTATTAGGATCGCGACGACGACTTCGATACTTCAGCGGCGCGCATCTGCCGTTGGGCGCTGTGTCGAGGAGGTCTGTCTTCGTCAGCGTCTTCTTCTTCCAAGTTGGCGGTTGACCTTTTTCGTGTTGAGGCGCGCGCGCATCTGCCCTTTTAACAGAACGGGCTTTGTGTGTTGGCCGAGCTTGGGCTCCCGGAGGTGCGTAAGGACCTCGAGTCCCGGAAGACACCTCTTCCCTTGCACTTTTTGGTATATAGCGTACGCAGTGACGTCGCTCTTTTCGCGGAAGCAAAGCGAATATTGCGAGTTGGACGTGACACGGGAGGATGAAAAATTATGGCCAGCCTGTATCAGTACTTACTTCCTCATTGCCTCCCCCTCCTCCTCATTCTCCTGCTCATCCATCCCCCGAGGCAAGTAATGAGCTTTTGTTTTGACAAATTGGAAAGATTCTTGTCGATGACGATTTTTAATTCAGAGTTAGAGAGAAAAGTCTAAGCACTACCGGCGTTTCTAC